TGGGTAAAGAAGAGGCTCGGGGAGGGGAACTGTGGGAAAGGCCCGAGCTCTTCTGGGAAGCCCTGATTTACAGCCCTCAGGTCCTGAGAGCCTGGGTGGTGGGATGGGCAGGAGGTCACCTCTGGAGCGCGGCAATGGACGTGACCCTGCTGTCGCTTTGCCCCCATTCGCCTGGGCCTGGGCGTTTCCGTCTCTGCCCATGCGGTGCTTGGCCGTGGCCATCTCGCTAAAGGGCAGAGAGCTGGAGACGGACTCACCTGCCGTGTGCCTGGAATGCAAAGTGGCCGGAGCCCTGGCCCAGCGCGGACACTGCCGTGCGCGGATCCCGTCAGCAGGGGGCAGCAGCAGCCGGGAAAAGGACGGCGGCAGGAGGGCGCCCAGGGCGCAGCCCTTGGGATTATCTTGCAGCTGCTTTTATTCAAGGCTGAGGAAATCATCTTTTCAGAGACCCCGGGGATCGTCGCAGGAAGCCAAGAGTTGCTTTTCCAGAACATTCCGTGTTTAGCATCTCTGGCCCTTGGGCTCCGCCAGTAGAGAACTGGGAAGTCGGCAGAGGGCAGGTAACTCACCTGAGCATGGCCCTGGGAGGACGTGCTCCAGTCCCGGCCCAGAGCCTGCTGATGTCCCTCCCTGGTCCTTTTCTGCACTCTGTGCATAAAGCTTGTGTCACGGGGCCTGAGAAGGGGACAAATGACTCCCGCAGCTCAGCCTGAACCAAGCCAAATGCTACTGAGGCAAATGAGGCTGCCCCTGTTGCTCCACATCCCTTCCCCCTTTCCAGCCCCTACCTGCATAAGCCCTTGGAGCCAGAGGACAAAAAGCCCTCCCCAGACTGGCCCTCCTGCAACTGCCTGGGCCCATCTGAGCTTGTCCCCAGCCCCCTAGAGCCTTAACAGCCCAGGCTGGGTGTGATGGCGACGCCTATAATCCCAGTTGCTAAGGAGGCTGAGGCAGGAGGATCGCCAGTTTGAGGCCAGCCTCAGTAACTTAGTGAGTCTCAAAATAAAAATTGAGAAAGACCAAGGATGCAGCCTAGTGGTAGGGCACCCACCCGTTCCACCCCCAGTACCAAAGAGAGAGAGAACCCCAATAACCTAGGTTTCTTCTCCTTCCCTCACAGAGCCAAGCTGCACATCCCCCTCTTCATTTTGCTTTTGGGGGACCCCATGCCCAGCACCCAAAGTGCCCTGTGTTCTTTTATTATGGCTGAGTTTGTTCTATTCCAGAGCAGGATCTCTAAATCTTTTCACATTTCCACCCAAAACCCCGAACACATTTCCTCCTGGCCTTGGGGTGAAGTCCGCCTTCCTCGTGGGGTGGCCAGTGGGTGGCGGGGGAAGGAGGTGTTCCCACCACTCTGTGCCACTCCCTGGGACCTGCAAACCTGACCTGCCTATTCTGCCTCAGGGCCTTTGTCCTTTCTGTCCCCTTTAAATCCACTTATGTCCTAATATGCTTTTCTCAGCTCAAATGTCACCCGCTCTGTGTGCCCCGTCTGTGCCGTGAAGGCAGTGACTGCATCTGTGGTTACTGGCAGAGTGCCTACTGGTGAAGGACTAGGTTCTAGAGCCAAAGCCTTCGGGCTCTAATCCTACCTGTGTGACCTTGGGCAGCTCACCACACCTCTCTGTTTCAGTTTCTTCCCACGTGGAATGGGAGCACTAATCCATCCTTTGTCCTGGGGTTGAGATGAGGGTTGAATGTCTGGCCAGCACATGTCTCCACCCAAGTCGTGGTGGGTGGGGGAGATGGAGCGCTCTCTCTCACTGCTGGTAGGGATCCTGTCTCCTTACAGCGTCACATCCCCTCACCCGGTGTCTGTCCCCGCAGAGAGTAGGTGTCCCACAAAGACGCATCCAGATTGCTGAACTTCAGACTGATCTCTGGAGGAATCACTGTTTGAACCTGGCGGTCCTCAAACAAAGCCCCTGGTGGTCACAGTCAGTGTCTGCAGACCTCAGAGCTCGGCCCAGCCGGGCCGGGTCATGAGATGGTGTCATGTCCCTTCACGACCCCCTTCCCAGTCGGGATCCTATTTTCCAAGAGAGGACACCGAGGGCAGGTAGGGCTCAGCTGTCCCGGGCTGGACGTCAGAGCACAGCAGACCAGGGAACTCTAAGTGTGGTCTTGGTCTGCGCGGAGAGGTCTCTGCTCAGGCACCTCCCCACCTTCTGCCTGGCTCCGTCCTGGGCAGTGTTCTGACCCAGCTTGGTGCGCCTCCCTGCTCGGGCCCTGCGCCCCCTCCCTGCTCGGCCTCGGGCCCTTGGGGAGGGGAGCAGCCCCCGCCCAGGCCCGACCAGCCGCCTGGTTCAGGGCCTCTGCCGCCGCTCTGGGCCCCGCTGGCTCAGGGTCTTCTGCGTCCACATCTGCTCAAGCCCCGACCAGCTCTCCAAGAGACGCGTCCCTGGGTCCTGCCTTCCCCAAACCTCCCCTGAAAATAGCCCCCCAACTCTTGTTCCGGCACCTTCCATTGGTTCCATCATCTCCCGCAAACCGCCACCCTGAATCTGCGTCAAAGGTCGCTCGTGGCCAAGGGGTGAGCTCCCAGGCTCAGGAACAGGGGACGGGGTGCACTTAGTACGTGTCAGGCCCGAGGTAGGCACCGAAGCCTCTTGGTAACCTCACGACGTGGGGCCTGGGGCTGTCCCTTGTGCGGGAGGAAACGGGGGCGCAGGCATCGGTGGCAGCTGTGGCCGGGAGCCCAGGCAGCCCCGCTCTCCAGCCTTCGCCGAGTGGTAGGGGAAGGTCCCTGGGCTCCCTCTTCCCTCCAGGGCTCCCTGGCCAGCAGAGTCCTGGTGTGATGGACTCAGGTCCCCTGTCCCCTCCTCTCAACGTGTCTTGTTAACACCTGGAGGTGGCATTCATGAACTGGGAATTGGTGGCTTTCAAACGGTTCATAAAAACACCTGCCAGAAGCTCAGAGGAGGAAGTTGAGCCTTTCCTGAGGGGACCCGGGGGAATTCAGCCGCCCTTCGCCTGGCCGATGGCTCTCCCCTGTTCTTCCAAGCCTCTGCTGCAGGCGAGCCCATTTTGCAGAGAGGAAACTGAGGCTCAACAGAAGGCGTCTAGTGGCACACCACTGCGAGAGCTCGTCCCCTGTGAGACGGGGAGCAGAGTTCAAATCTCGCTCCAAACCCGACTCCGCTTGTGACGGGGACCCAAGGGGAGCTGATGAACTTGCTGGGACTCTGTTTCATCATCTGTAAAGTGGGGCAAACAAGGGACCCGCCACAGGGGGCTGTGGGCATGGATGCTTTTGCACACAACGCATTGGCTCAGTGGCACGGAGGGCTCCCCGTCATGGTGACCCTGGGGCATCGTTGCTGAATGGACGAATGAATGACTCAGATGCATCCTTCTCCTCTATTTAGGGCGGGAAGCTTCCCTGGCAAGAAATCCAAGAACCGAGGGCACTTTCCTCCAGATAGAAATAAAGTGCGGAGTGAAGCTGTTGATCGTGTGCAGGGATCGGTGTCACCTTTTCAGGACGAGCCACATTCTGAAAGTACCTCTCCAAGAGCAGAGAGCGGGCTGGCCCCGGGGTCACCCGGGCTGATCTCTGGCGATGCTGACAAGGTGGCGCGTGGTGACGATTTTGGAAGGAGCCCCTCCCCCACCCCGACCTCCGCTCCAGCAAGAAAACATTGAATTTTGCAAAAACTGCTGGGGCCGAGACAGTCCTCCCGAGGCGCTGGCTCACCCGGGGGTCCCTCAGCCGGCCCAGAATTGTCTCCGGAGGCCTCTGCCCACACGAGTGTCCTGCGCTCATTTCTGGGGAGTCTGCAGATGTGAGTGTTGGAGGAGGGAGGGTGAGAGGTGGCCGGGACCTGGAGAGCCAGGGCAGTAAGAGGGAAGGGGCTCTGGCTGGAGCCTGTCCAGGCGGCCCCACGGGAGCCCTGGTGAGTACAGAACGTGTCCCCGTCTCCCGGAGCCCCAGAGCTGCCCATCAGCCCCAGAGCTGCCCATCAGAAGGCTCCGCTGCGGCTCCCAATCCAGAGGCCGGAAGCCAGATGCTCCTGGTTTAGGTCCCTGGGTGGGGACGCCTGTCTGGTCCATCGGGCCCATGACCCCAGCGCTGACCCGCTTAGCCTGGGCTCTGGGGTCAGGGGAACCAGGGACGAGCCCGAGGCCACGCCGCCTTGGTCTGGATTCTCCCAGAAGCTGCCTCAGAAAGGACGTGGGTTCATTGAAGTGGCTCCCAGGACACCCCTAGGGGAAGAGGCCAGGGGGGGACACTGTGGCCCACCTCTGTCCTGGGGACTGGGGAAGCCGTGGAGAGGGGAGGAAGCTGGTGGGTTCTGGTCAGACTCACCTGCGCCTGTCCAGAGCCATGCAGGACGCGTCTCCTGGGCACTTCCGCCTTGGCTCCCGCCTGGGGACACGCAGGCCTTGGGCAACCAAACCGTGGGTCTAACCCTGACCCCTAACCCTTCGGGAAGGGGTGGGTGGGGAGCATCAGAGCCTCTGTGTCCGTGAATTAAGGAGGCGGTGGGAAAGGCAGCCACGGAAGTGCTTGGCGAAGGTGGCTGTGACGATGACAGTCGCCACCTGTCTGTTTGGAAGGTCTTTCTCCTCCTCCTTAACCAAAAACTCCTACTCACCCTCCAGGTGCCCAGGTACCTGCCACAGCTTCAGCGGCACCTTCTGCGGTGTGCATGAGTTTCCCGTGGCTGCTATAACAAGACCACAGCTCGGGCACTTAAAATGATAGAGATTCACTCTCTACGTTCTGGAGTCTGGAAGACTGAAACGGAGGTGCTGGAGGGGAGGGTCCTTCCTGCCTGGTGTTCCTTGGCTGGCGGCAGCTCATTCCAGCCTCTGTCTCCATGGCCACAGGGCCTCCTTCCTGGGCCTTCTGCTCCTCTGCCCATCACTGTATCTGGGGCCCACCCTAATCCAGGCCAGTCTCACTGTGAGATGTGACCCGACTGACTTCTGAAGGATCCTTTTTTCAATTGAAGTCACAGCCTGAGGTTCTGGAGGGCACATATTTTGGGGAGACCCCATCCAACCCACTAGAGCAGATTTACAATGTTTCTTTCATCGCGGGGACACTGGTTGGAAAGGCGGCCACTGACCCACACGGGGGCCTCTTTCCTTCCAGTCACAAGCACCACGAAGGTCCACGGCTTCCAGCCGCCCGAGACCCACGTTCTTTCCGACAGCGCTGTGCTCCCTGTGTCTTCAAGTCCCGGGCTGGGAGAAGGTGGCTCCATCTCTGGGCCCGACTCCATCCTGACGGCGTGAAGGAGGGAGAGCCAAGGGCAGGGGTCCCGGCAGCCCTCGGCAAGCCCACCAGGGGCCGTATTTCCGTCTCATAGACCCAAACCGGGTCCCCTGGTCATGGGAGATTTTTCTTAGGACACGTTGTGGCCTCACTTCCGAGTGGAGCTCTGACAGAAAGAAAGGGGAGAGCTGGGTGCCGGGTGTGGGGGGGCTACTCACTGAAGTCCCGGTGGCTCGGGACTCTGAGGCAGGAGGATCGTGAGTTCAGAGCCGGCCTCAGCAGCTTAGCAAGGTGCCATCCATGGGCTGTGAGTGGACTGTTGGGCGCAGTAGCCTCCTGAGGGGATGAGTCTGACACCCCCACAGGGATTGACCACCTGATGCAGGTGAACCTCCCCCTCAGGCTCCGCCTAAGGTCCCACATAGCACCAGAGACGGGTGTGACCTGCCAAGAAGTCAATCAACCTGCCGACTGCCGCCCTGAGACCTCATCCTGCCTTTGATGTGCCCCCTTCCGTAAGCCCCGGAGCCATTTTGCCTTTGTCTAGATCAAAAACCCAGATGGACTAGATCTACGGGGGCTTCGCTTTTGTAGATGTGTTTCCGAGTGTTTGAGTTTTGTTATTTGTTAATTATTTGAGATATGAACTTAGAGTGGCTATTTGGGGTGGCTAGGATTCCTCTGGGCAGAAGAGCCCTCGGATGAGACGCTTCCCCCCGAAAACCAGGCCCTAAGCAACTTAGTGAGACCCACTAGGTCTCTAAATAAGAAACAAAAAGGGCTGGGATGTGGCCAGTGGTTAAGCGCCCCTGGCTCAATCCTGGCCCCCACCACCAAAAAAGGGAGAGTCAGCGACGAGGAGGCAGCAGTAATGACTTTCCTGCTGAAAGCTACGCAGCCCATCCTCATCTGCACGGCCCACATGGCCCCGGCAGACCCCCAGTGGCCGTGGGCGTGCCCCACGGCTCTGCCCAGCCGTGTCCTTCCACACTGTGCAGCTCCTTTGGACCAGCAGAGCCTGCCCTGAGCAAGGCATCACCCAGGCCAGCTGAGGGGCAGCAGGTGCCGAGGAGTCCACCCAGAGCCAGGAACGGGTGAGCTGGGGGCGGGGGGACGGCGCCCAGGCGGAGCAACCCCAGGGCCCTTGCCCGCCAGCTCCTCTCCTTGGCACCCGCATCTCAGCAAACAGGGAAGGCCGGTGACGATGACCGTGGCTGGAGCCACATGACATGCAATGGACCATTCCAAAGCACCTGGTCCAGTGGCATTTACTGCCTCTCCCCCGCTGGCCCTCTGAACGCGGGCAGGTTGGAAAGGAGAGAGTACGAGGATCGCCCTCCCGGGGCATCCCGGACCCCTGCGAGTCCACCCGCAGGACCCCTGTGCTTGCCAGCCGCAGCCAGCAGGAGGGGAGATGGATCGTGGCCTGCAAGCAGCTGGATCACGGGCTCGGAGTCGGGAGGGACGCGCCGAGGGACTGTCCTGGTGCCCAAGTCCCTTCGACAGCTCCTTGCCTCCACCTCCCCCGACAGGGCGCTCCCTGCTCAGCGGGACCCCCAGGGCCTCCTAGAGCAGGTCCACGCTGCTGCCCATCGGCCTCCTCCTGGTCCTTGCTCCGCCTCTCTCTGCTTCCTGGCTACCAGGAGCTGAGATCCCTTTGAATGTGCCCCTAGTTTGCCGAGCTGTGTGCGTTCCCACAGCCACGCCCTGCGACCCATTCAAAGCTATTCCCGGATAAAACTTGGCTGATTCTTTTCTCATTGGTGTTTCTCTCAGCTGCCTCTGAACCAGGGGGTGTCCGTCTGCTCTTTCCCATTTTATTAGCTGTGCCGCTTGGGCCAGTCCCCTAACTTCTCTGAGTCCGCCATCTTGTTGTGTTGAAAGGGAGTGAACGTCCTGCAGCTGGAAAGCTGGAGGCTGGGAACTTAGAGCAGCAGTCCTGGGGGCGGGACGTCCAGGGTCAGGGCCTCGGCTGGTCTGGTGTCTGGGGAGGGCCACGCTCTGCTTCATAGATGGCACCCCGTGCCGCGTCCTCACGTGGCAGAGGCGGGGGACAACCTCCCTGTCACCTCCTTTATAAGGGCACACGTTCCACTCATGAGGGTGGCACCTGGTGACCTGATGGCCTCCCGAGGCCCACCCCTTCATGCCATGGACGGCTGATTGGACTTCAGTGATGGTGACTGGAGAGACAACATGGCAGATGGGGGGACAGTGCCCGGCACCTGTAGGACTTGAAGATGCGGCGGGCGGAGGGCAGGTCTGGCAGCCCCACAGCCGCAGCCGGCTCGGCCCCTCCTCCAGGCCCACGGCTGAGGGGGCCCAGCCACCTCTGGACCCAGCTCCTCCTGCCCCGCAAACCCGCACCCTTCAGTGTGTCCCGGGGCGTCCATCTGCGACACACCTGGGGTCCTGCTGGCTCCTCTCTTATCAAAAGCCGCTCAGGGACGGGTTGCGGCTCCTCAGCCCCCAGTCCCCGCCTTCCCTGCTCCCAGCCTTGGGCACCCAGACAGAAGCCGGTGGGTGACCAGGGGGCTCCTCTGAGCAATGAGAAAGGAGCTGTGTCCAGCTGGTGAGAAGCCAGGAGGGGCACAGAAGGCGATGACCAAGGTGTCGGCCATGCTGCGGGGACACTGGGGGGTGCTGGAGTCCAGTGCAGCCTACGGAGGAGCGGGCTGAGCAGGAGGGCTCCCGGTGACGAGGCAGTGCAGGGGAGGGACGCCAGGAGGCTGCAGTCTGCACTCAGCGACCTTGAGTGAGTCCCAAACACACAGGGCCTCTGCCTGGTGAAGGGTCCCAGCTCCCTGTGCGCCGGCCCAAGAGCCAGCAGGCCCAGGGGACACGTCCTGCCCGTGGGCTCACACGGTCTCTGGGAGGGTGCATGGGAATCACGTGTCACCCTTTTTCTTTCCACTAGCAGGAGTCGTCGGGGGCTCTGACCCTGACCGTGGGCCCTGACCTGACCGTGGGCCCCTCTCGGGGTGGTTTTCCCGAGATGAATGCGACTGAGCCTTTGGGCCGTCGGGGAGGACAGTCCAGGCCCAGAGAGCAGCCTGGGGTGACAGATTGTGAGGCCCAGGAGGAGGCTGGGGAGGCTGGCGGCTGTCCCTGGGGCCAGGACAGCTGCACTTGGACTTGGGGTTCCTTGTGTGGACTGAGCAGCCGCCCAGGCGCCTCCAAGCAGGAGGACGCTGGTGGAATCTAGATTTTGGGAAGAGCCCTTGGCCCCACGCGGGGAGCAGAATGGGAAGGGCAGGGTGCCGGGAGACTGGCCAGCAGAGCCCCCTGCTGTGGAACACAGGGAGGAGCCGGGCCACCTCCACTCATGATGCTCCCAGGACACAAACTTGTCCAGCCCGAGTTCCCGCGAGCAGAGGAGCAGGAGCAGGAGGAGGAGGAGGAGCAGGAGGTGCCGCTAGGAATGCGAGACCCGGGCCAGGTGGCTCCACAGAGTCCCACTCCCGCCTGATTGGCCTGGACTCTGGTGGTGGCCGAGGACGAGAGGGATGGTCGGGACCAGAGGGGGGGGGGAGGGCTTGGGAACCACGCTGCTTGTCCTGATGGCCACGTCCTGACCATACCACTGGGCTGTGCTCCCCTCTTGCCTCTCCCCTCACTGTCCCCAGCTGGGCACAGCTGCGGTGACGAGTCAGTGTTCTCTGCCAAGCCGCCCACTGAATTCCAGCTCTGCCCCAGCCCAGCTGCACGTCCCTAGAGAGCCCTGGTTTTCTGGCCTGTGAAGGTGGCTCAGGACGCCGCCTGTCCACGGGGCTCAGTAAGAGAAGGACTGGGAGGCTGAGTGCACATGGGTGACCCTTTGGGACTCGCTGTGGTTTTAAGTCAGTTACCAGTTCTGGTCCCACGTCCCCTCCTGGCCTGGGCCTGCTTTCTCCGCCTGACCACTACTCTGTCCCGTCCATGCCTGTCCCTCAGAACCCAGAGAAGGGGCTGGTGGCAGCCTGTGGTGGGAGAATGACACCCTGTCAGTCCCTCCTCCACTGGGTCCCCCAGAGTAAACAGGGCAGGCCATTGTGGGAAGAGCAGGGCCATCGTGGGAAGAGCAGGGCCATCGTGGGAATAGCAGGGCCATCGTGGGAAGAGCAGGGCCATCGTGGGAAGAGCAGGGCCATCGTGGGAATAGCAGGGCCATCGTGGGAAGAGCAGGGCCATCGTGGGAAGAGCAGGACTGCCATTTGCCCACCTGGGAGCCCGACTAACGATTTCCATAGGGACACCCCTCCTCCACTCTCAGGCCCTGAGCTCTCTGTGTGGCTGATCCCCTGGTCCAGTCAGTGTCCCTCTTCCGGGTCACTCTGACAGATTCAGGGAGACACAGAGGCCCCGAGGTGACTTCTTGGGCCGGGGTCCTGGTCCCACCAATGGCTCGCTGAGGGATCTTGGGGTAACACTGAAATTCCCCGTGCCTCGGGTTCTTGTCTACACCGGGGTGGTGATGGTCTACACTCCATCGGGCTGTTGTGCAGACGGGATCTGGAGAGGGGCTCGGCACAGGTGAGTCCCAAGGAGCATGAGCCCCGCTCTAATGGGACTGAATTTGGGGCCTTCAGATGGGTGACTGGGGAGAGGGGGTCTTTTTCAGTGGTCCTGCTGCACCCGGGCCTCGAGTGGACGGGTCACCTTGCGTCCTGCACAGAGGAGGCGGGGGGGGGGGCTTAGCTCTGTGGCGCCTCCTGCTGGAGTCTCTGGGTCCTGTCATTCCTGAAGCTGAATTTCCTTTTCCTTTTTTTATTTTTTGGTTGAAGTGCCTCTGAGTTGGGTTTTTGTTACTCGGAACAAAAGGAGTTTAATGGGACCCTGTTAGGGTTGGGTCTGGAATGTTCCCGAAGGGCTCCTGTGTCCAAGGCTCAGTCCCCAGGGCAGCAGTGCCAGGCAGGGGTGCGTGGGGGTGGGGAGCTCTGGGGAAATAATTGGGTCAGGAGGGTGTGACCTCCTCAGTGGAGTCATAGCTGATGGCATTAGGGGACACGGGAGAAGCTGAAGAATGGGGGGGGCCTCCTTGGAGGAACTAGGTCGCAGGTGGCTGCCCTGGAAGCGGGGATCTTGTCCCTGGTTTGCTCGCTCACACACGTGTGTGCACGCACACTCTCTCTCTCTCTCTACACACACGCTCATCCTTCCCGGCCGCCAGGAACTGAGAACTTCCTGTGCCATGCTCCTCCGCCCAAAGTAAAGCAGCCACCGACCAGGGCCCGAGACCTCTGAAACCATGAGCCAAAATAAACCTTTCCTCCCTACGTTGATTTCTCAGGTATTTGTCACAGGGATGGAAGGTGAACCCAGGGGTCGTCGCCCACCAGCCGTCCATCCAGCCGTCCGCAGACCCACATTCAATCCCAGCACCTGCCCGTGTGGGGCCCCAGCGCATCACTTCCCGGCTCCAAGACTCGGTTTCCGCGCCTGGACGCGGAGCTCCGTCACCTCCTCTGGGCAGTGGTCCCAAGGATTCAAAGGGAGGACCCGCCTGGAGGGCCATGCTCAGTACAAGGTTCAGCGGTCCTCCCCTCGCCCGCCTAAGGGTCCCTGGAGAGCCGGTGCCCGCCAGGCTGGCCCTGCCATGCAGATGGAGTCCCACGGGTACGACCTTTATTGTTTCTCGAGCATTTTCCAGAAGAACGGTGTCATTTGAGAGCCACAGCGGGTGGGGGAGTAAAAAAGAACATAAATAAACCCAACAGAAAATCCAGAGGGGACAGGACGGCCGAGTCGGGGTGTCGGGGGCAGAGGGGGAGGCCCCGGGCGGCAGAGGGGAGGTCCCGGGCGGCAGAGGGGAGGCCCCGGCCGGCAGCGCCTCTTAGCTTTCAGACACCAGAGTGGAGAACTCTGCAAAAGAAATGACAGGGGCCGTGAGTCGGAGGCAGAGGATGCAGAGGGACTCCCCGAGGGACCCAGGGCACAGCTCTGTGCTTCCTCCAGGTTCGTGGATCTGCTGCCGGATGTGGCGGAACACGGTGAGCGGGACCCGTGATCACGTGACTGTCAGCTCCCATCGTGGCTCTGACAGTCCCTGAGGTCCACTGAGTGCAGCCGTTGTCCTCGACACTCCACATCCAGCATCCCACTTGACCCTGACCGTCACCTCATCACTGATTATTACGCTCATTCTACACATGAGGAGACCCAGGCTCTGCAGCCAGCCATCTTTCTGGACTTTTCTTCTGTTTCTCCCCCCAGGAGACCAGGGAGGACAGGGTTTTGGCACTGTGTACCACTGAGTCACTCTGGGACGTCACGTCTCTGGCCTGCCTGGGAGGGTGGGGTCCTGGTCAGTCCTCGATGCCTGTGTAAATGCAGCGTGGTGATGTTGGGGGGCTGGGCTGGGGTCAAGGGCCAGGGCTTCCAGGCAGGCCTGGCCATTTGCTGGACAATGGGCTCCCAGGGCTCAGATCTCTCACACCATGGAGAGAAGGGAGGGGCCGTGATGGCTTCAGAAAGGCCACAGTGTAAAATGCCCGGGACCCCTTGAGGTCAGCTGCCTGCCAGGACTTGGTGCAGAACATGTAGATAAAACCCAGGCATGCGGCTCCGTGGGGTTGACGTGAACCGCGGTGACACAAGGTGCTAGCCTGGGGGGCTGGGAGGAGGGTGCACAAGGCCCTGCGTGATCCCCGAAATTCTTCGGTATTCCTAAAATTATTCCAAAGTTAAAACAAACAAAACCAAGGGCAACCAGACCCACATGCCGTATCATGGCTATAGCCTGGCACTGACTCTGGCCAGCTGAGGGGACACCACACCCTCCTGTCCCTAGACTGTCCCAGGACAGGAAAGGTGGTGACCTGGGCGTGGGGTCTGGGCAGGGATTCAAGCGGGTGGAGAGCGAGGGTCCTCCCTCTCGAGGGTCCTGCAGGCTCAAGGCTCTCCCGCAGAGAGGTTCCCGGGAAACAGCCCCACGACCAGCGACCCCCCAGGCCGGCCCTATTCTCAGCCACAGTCCCCTGTGAGCCTTGAGGACGGGCTGGAGGAGGCCGGGGGCTCTTCCAGGAAGTCCATCTTTACAGTTGGTGGCCGGCATTTGTCGAGTGCCAACCTCTGAACCCCACGACTACCTCCGGGGAGACTCACCTTGGCTTGCGTTCTACAGCTGGGGAAACTGAGGCCCAAGAGTCAAGTTGCCTGACCAGGGTCACCGAGCAGATGGGACTCATGCTACAGTCGGTCTGGGCCTCCTTCTCTATGCTGGGCTTTCTGACCTACTTTGACCTAGTGTAGAGTGACACATGTCCCAGATCGAATGTCACCACCCCCGTGGGTCTGTCACAGTAGCCCTTTTTTATTTACTTCACGGTACTTAGCACACTCTGAAATGATCTCATTTATGTACTTGTTTTTGTTGGTCTCCTCCCTTTAGAAGGCAAACTCTGGGGGGGGGGGGAGCCCATCTCTCTCTGGTTCACCCTCCCAGCAGCTAGAACGTCCTGACACACAGCAGGCGCTAATGAGTGAACGGATGGATGGTGGATGGATAGATATATGTGTGGGTAGATGGGTGGATGGGTGGATAGATAGATGGATGGGTGGATGGATGGATGGATGGGTGGATGGATGGATGAATGGATGGATGGATAGATGTGTGGGTGGATGAGTGGATGGATGGATGGATGAATGGATGGATGGATAGATAGATGGGTGGGTGGATGGATGAATAGATGGATAGATGGATGAATGGATGGATGGATAGGTGGATGGATGGATAGGTGGATGGATGGATGGATGGATGGATAGATAGATGGGTGGGTGGATGGATGGATGGATGGATGGATGGATGGATGGGTGGACGGATGGATGAATGGATGGATGGTGGGTGGGTGGGTGCATGGGTGGATGGGATGGCTTATGAGTCCTTAAGTTTCAACAACAACTGTTTAATTGCACTGAATTCTCACAAGAGCTCTGTGAGATGATTCCCATTTTACAGATGGGGAAATGGGGCTGGAGAGGGGAGGTGTCAGAGTCATGCAGAAAATAAGACACAGAGCTACAGCCTGTCTTCTGGCCTCAGGAGCTGAGTGTGAGGGCTGCTCCTGGCTGGGCCAGTGGCCCGTGGAAGTCCTCTCCAGCTTCATGTGCCATTTAATCTGGCAGAGTGGAGGGAGCCAGCCTTCCCTGTCCCAGGCCACTGAGATGCTCTGCCTTGAGGTACAGGAGGCGCAAACCTGTCACCAACCCTGCTCCTGGAGACCGCCGAGAGGAGAGGCTGGGTCTGACTCTTCATGCTGGAAACTGGGGGCTCCCTGGCTGCTCATAACAGCACACTGTCTTCACCCCCACACTAGGGGGGACCTGGTGGGTTGGTGTGGGAGGACCCAGGGTGTCAAGGAGGGTCTCCTGGGATAAAAGCTGGGCATTTGGAGCCTCACTCTGGGAAATATTCAGAATATTTTGTAGCTTTTAAAAGCCTCTTAATCAGCCCTTTGCCCACCCTGATGCAGCCAGAAGGTCACGGCAGCCACGTCTGCAGGAAACACTGGATTCTAATTTTATCCCCACAGAACCTTGAACGGGCACTTGCAGACACACTGAGGGCAGGGGCCACCTCTTTGGTACCTTCATGTCTGCCCAGGGGCAGAACCCTTAGCACCTGGCCAGTCAGCCCCAGCCTTCCTAGCAACCACCCCCCTCCAAAAAAAAAAAGCCCAGTTCTCAAATGAGCAAGTGCACAAAGACTATGGGAAGCCCAGGCCAGCAGAGCGGCGGCTGCACCCTGGGACGGGATGGCCTGCTGAGGGACGGGTTCCAGTCATCTGCTAGTCCCTGGACGAGGTGCCTCGCCCTTCCCGGTCGGGTTCTCTCATCTCACATGTGATCTTCTACTCTTACTGGGTCGGGGTAAGTGGGCTGGGGTCCACTCCCAGCTCCTGTTTGTTGCTCTGTGACCTTTAACTAGGTCACGCATTGTGCCTCGGTTTCCCCGTCTGTACCACGGTGCTCATGGGAGTTCCTGCTTCCTGGGGCTGCTCCCAGGATCTAGCTAGAGCTCCTAGTCAGGGCCAGGGCACAGCACACACCTGGTGGCCACTGTGCTCAGGATTCTCTGTAACTCAAGCCACTTTGCCACCAAGCCGTGGCAGAGAGGAGACCTGAAGCCTTTGTCAGCATGGCTGTCGCTCTTGCCGCTATTGGAATCCACCATCCCTCTCATTCCCCATCTCCGTTCCCCATCCCCATCTCTGAAGCTGTCTTGTCTGTCACCGCCTGGCGGGGTGGCCATGGGTCACCACTTTACCCCTCTGAGCCTCAGTATTCTCATCTGTAAGGAGGGTACAGGCGACTTACACAGCTATTGGGGAAAACAGATGATAAAATACAGAAAGATGCCTGGCACACAGTAGGCAGCTTATACGTGCTAACTCCACCCCCCTTGGATCCCCTCAGCACAGTCCACATGGGTTGGAACGCTGAAATGACCACTACCACAAAGCCCCTGAATCTAAGGAGGACAAGGAGGACCTAAACAGAGGACCCGGGGACTACACAGCAGCCAGCTGCCCTGAACGAGTTTCCACAGGATCAATTCCATGTGAGTTGATTCCCGCCTCCAGCACACCCCTCTGTGGACGGTCAGCCTCTGGCCCTCGGTTTCCTCATCTGTACAATGGGGATCCTGAGACCCTCTCCTCACGGATGATGGTGAGGACCACAGGAAATGATGGAGGCGTCCGGCGCAGGCACAGTGTGACGGCCATTAAGTCAACGCTGATTGCTGAGGTATAAGGGAAGTGAGCCCCCGGAGGGATCCAGGTGCTCTTCCCCTCGTAGGACGTGCAAGCACAGCCCTACCTTTGCAGCCTGAGGCTGCCCCCAGCATCCTCTAGGGCTGGCTTGCTGAGGTCTGCCTCGCCCAATCAGAGAGAGGCAGAGAAGGCAGGGATGGGTGGGAGGTGGGCCGCGGACGGAGGATGGGCAGATTCTGTTCTTCACTCTCCCTTAGGAGACTGCAATTAGCCTAATTAGGTCTGCCCCAGTCCTGGGTGCTGCGGACACTGGACAAATTTAGAAGCTATTGACAGGTGGGAGCGGCAGATGCTGATAGCCCCAAGTGAAACTGAGACTCATTGAGTCAGCGTCTGGAAGGCTGTTCCCCTCCCTCTGCCGCCATGACCAGGATGAAGGGACCAGCCTCCTGGTTTATCACCTCGCCTCTAAATAGCTCCCCGGCTCGGTTTCTTATACATTGGGATTGCAAACAGAGATCACTTTCCCCCCTGCAGAACTGGGGGCAGGGTCATTTGGGGTCAAGCCAGACAGCCATAGGGAGGCATCATAAACTGTTCTGGGGCGCCCTCGGTGCCAGGGGCTGCCCCATGTGCGAGCCCAGTTCATCCTCCCGGGCCCCGTTACCCCCATTCTACTTACAGGGAAACTGAGGCTGAGCCACCCAGCCAGGAGGCTTCTAGCTCCGGCGTGGCTCGTGCCGGCTGCATCTCTTTCCCCACTGCAGCCCTCAGACAGAAGGAGCGGGGTGAATGGGGCGGAACCATCCTCTCGCCCTGCCGGCCGGCCGCTCCATTTTCCAGGAGGCCAGTTACATAAGCAGCCTCCTCCTCTCCCAGCTCCGTCTTATCTAGTTCAGCATAAGGCCCGAGCCAGCGCCAGTGCACCCGGGAACAGGAGAGCAGATTGCTAAGCGCCGGAGCCATTTATAACTCCAGAGTCTCAGCTCTGCTTGGGCCGAGGAGGGGGGCGGAGTCAGGAGACCCAGGTCCTATTCGGTCAAGGATTTTGCCGGGTGACTTTGGCACTCTATGTCCACTGGGCCTCAGTTTCACTCTCTCAGTCTCTGTCCCCTAGACCTCCTGGGGCTGCTGGGATGGCAGGAGGAGATGCCACCAAACGCTGGCCACCCCGGGGGCCCTGCCAGTGTGTGCATCCTGCCCTGCTTGGGGACCCAATCCCGGAAGGGGCTGGCAGGCTGGAAGCACCGGGAGGCAGGGGACTGTCCTTCCAGGCTTCTCGCTTCCCTGCATCTTAGACATTAGACTCCACTTCCTTCCTGTTGAGGGCCGGGACTCCCCAGCTTCTAAAAAGGTTTTGAGGTGACTTTCAAAAAAGCATTCGCCTCCTTCAGAGGAAAGGAATCATTTCCAGAACATTCACCTAACATCCCCACTTTGCAGATGACGGAGCAGATGCCCCTGGGAGGAAACACTGGGGACACTCCCGGGGCTGGTCCCCACGGTCTGGCAGTCAACTCCCTCACCCCCAAGCCCCAGGTGAAAGAGGTTACTTAAGGATAAGAGAAAACAGATTCTGACCCAAGGAAGCAGGAGAGGCAAAAGCCCTCAGGCCTGGGAGTGTCCGTGGTCAGTCCGTCCCGGTCAGGAAATAATTAGGATTCCATGTTTTTAGCACTGAAGTAAAATGCTCTTGAATTGGAATGGGGCTAAAGCTCAGGAAAGCGGATCCCGTTCTCGGGTTGGGTCCCAGGGAAAATGCCCTTGGATTGCGCGTGCGCAAGTGGACGTGGGGTGTGCGGACCTTCCTACAGCGTTGGGGGAAGAGCTCGTTTGCAGCTGGAGTTTGAAAGGGGTCTCACGCTTCAGGGCAAGTCGCTCTGCGTCTCTGGGCCTCAGTTTCCTTGTCTGTGCAGGTAATAAAGAGCTGGGGAGCCACGTGAGGGTCGATGGAGGAAATGACCTGAGGGCAGTCCCACCAGGAGTGGGACTGGGCGCCAATCTCAATGTCTGTGGGTCTGTCTGTTCCTTGTGGAGGCTTCCAGTTCAGAGTCAGCTGGGGACAAATGCCCAGGGAGGCAGGGTCATAGTGGGTCCTGGAGGGACACAGAGCCTCAGTCCTGACTCTGCTACTGGGTAACCCCGAGCACCTCACGTGGCCTCTCTGTGCCTCTGTTTCGCTGGCAAGGACCCTGGGGGGGGGCCTAGGCCGCTGCAGGTGGAGATCCACTAGTCCAGGGGCGTCTGAGGAAGCGCCTGTCCGCCCCTTCCACCTCTTTCCAGCTTCTCTCTCCTTTTCTAACCCTCCGCTGTCTAGCCCAGCACCAGCCTTTCAGGGTGGCTGTTGAAACTCCATCGATCACATCTAGAAAAGTCTTTGAGCTTCCTGGAAATAGTCACCCCGGAGACGAGAACGGAAAGGCGTATTATTAGGACTTTGTCCTCCTCCCCTTCCCTGCAGCCTGGGAGCTCGAAGAGCATGGTCAACTGCGCTCCCCTTCCTAGGACACACAGAGCTGGGGACAGCGGCAGTCCCAGCCCCTCAGCACCTGCTGCAAGCAAGCTCCAGTCTGCTGCCCAGCTCTCCAGCTCGGGCCTGCAGAGAGCCCCTGCCTGCACACCCCGGGCTGGGCCTGGGCTCCTTCACTCATCCACCCCTCCGTCCATCTGTCTTTCCGATAGATAGACTTTTCTCGTCCTCCCATTATGTGCCAGCCCTATTCTTTGTGCTGGGATCAGAACTGAAGAAAACCAAGTCCCTGCTTTGCAGAGCTGACGTGGTGAAGGGGGCGGAGCGAGCAGCAAGTCAATACACAGCCATCCCACCGGCGGGCGGGGCTCACCCAACCTGAGTGCGAGAAGGAGGTGGCCTGCCCAGGTCTGCCTCCTTCCTCCCCCTGCCCGTGGGAGTTCAGGCGAAGCCTGGCCTCTCTGAGCTCCGTGTCTATAAAGTGGGAATTGTCACAGTGCCCACCCCAGGGATAGCTCGGAAGATAAATGCGTGAAGGACTGTGCACCCTGAAGTGCCCCATGAGGCTCAATGTCACCGCTGTTGTCACTAAGTCACTCAGCTGGCCTAAGTCCCCTCATGGTCGTTGTGCAGAGGATTATACCGTGGAGTCCCAGGGCTGGAAGGGACCCAGGGATTGGCTAGTGGCCTGACGCTCGTTTTAAAGACCAGGCCCCCTGAAAGCCAGGGATCTCTGTGACTTGCCCGGGTCCCAGGAC